TTTTTTTTTTTTTTTTTTTTTTTTGTTACATTTGCTTTTCTAGGTTAATAATGTCTGCTAATCTAAAAGCCAAACAGAGCTCCCTGTTTGCGAGCCGTGCTGCTGGAAAGAGTGCACCCTGTTATTTCTCACAGAGTTTGTCTTAAAAATTAGTGATGGAAACAGCTTAGTGAAGGCAAAGATACAGGACAGGTGTGCCCGTTGCATGTGCAGCTGCAATGCACTTGATTTGAATGAACATCTTATACAAATACACGTGTAAAACTCAAGCTGCATTTTGGAACGTTCCGTTGGGGATCTGGAATGCCCCATGTTGGTAGAAGTTTAGATGGGAGATGCAAAGGGGTTGCACTGCAGGGTACGAGCTTCTACCTGTTGAAATGCCCACACAGTCTAAAAGAAAATGTCCTTTTCTGAACCAGTTTATGCTTTTGTAGAGTGACAATGCGGTATGCTTTTGTCTTTACCAAGTTTGGTAGGTTTTTAAAGTTTGAAGTCTCTTAGTCTTGATTAAATGTAATTTAATTTACAGCAGAATACTTCAAAAGAGTGAATTTTCTGCTTTCTAGGCTTCATGTTTTAAAAGTCATAAAACACTTTTTTAACTTAAGATGAATATGCATCCCTTTAAAGAAATAATAACTGTTCCATCTTAGCTTTAATATCAAATATAAGCTGTTGTAGCATATCTAACGCATGTCACAGTTGTTGGTTGGTCTAATAGGACAGTACTTAAGATTTAGTTTTAATTTTTTTACTTCAAGTAAGTTTTTTTTCTATTTTTAAAACAAAAAAACCCAGTGAAATATGACATGTTCGGTTTCTTTCCTGAATTATAGTGATAGTAATACAATTTAATTGGTTTATATAAACTAAAAATAAAATTTGGCCTTTGTGAGCTACATTTCTATATCATGTCTGAAATAGATTATTGTTTTTGGTTTGTTTTTTCCAGGACTGTTTCCTTAAGGCGTTCCAGTTGCTTGTTTTCATGACTTTGAGCCTGTT